AAAGTATGGACTTTGGTTGAACCACCACAGGGTATTGTACCTATAGGTTGTAAATCATTCTTATATGATTTATATTTGAATGAGAATTGTAGCCGCATGTCTTAGGATTTATATTCATCGTAAATCATTCTTATATGACGTGTATGTTGCAAGTTATATATCTGATAGCAAGATGTTGTACTATATGATTTCAATAAACATGAGTTATGTTTTCGAAAATGAGTGTTACCTTCGATATGCATGCTTATGTGCCTTATGTGAATTAATTGGATCGTTGTTATATCACTGTCGGCTGGAAACACTTGCGAGAAAAGCTTTGCGCTAAAATCTCGAAGTGTGTGAATTATAGGTAGTGTATGTGGTTGAACTCGTTTAGGACTACCGGCACGATTAGCTACCTGAGTAAAAGTTGTCGTGACGGCCGGAAGAGTCAAACGAGCTAACTATTCTGTTGATCGGTGTTGACCGCCGAGTTAGGATTATTCCTGGCAGTGATGCCAATGCTTGATTCCTTTTGGGAAAATTGTTGTTGTTAAACCCTTTGTCCTGCCGGAGTACTTTAGAAATTGTGAGATTTGAAAATAGAAATTTGTGGTATGTGCCTCGAACCGAGTGCCGAACCTGACTGGGTGTAGCCACGCGAAGTGGTGGCCGATCCCGCACGCCCGTGCTGAGAGACGTGAGGCAAACTGCAGTGGCCGATCGTTGACTCGCACGAGAGCTGCCGCCGCCATCACCGAACGCCAAACTCCCCAAGTCAGTGTGTACGGCCAAACCTTGACCTTGTAGCTAGTATCCGAGTGGGTACATGCACGCGTCCCAGCGCCCCGCATATGCAGCGCCAGCGTGTGTGTCACCTCTCGGGTGACAGTGCATTAAACCTTGTCCTTTTAGGGGTCTTTGAACCAGATCTTGGTCAAAGTGTACGTTGATCTTTTGAGTCGTTGTGGGAATTCCCTAATCAACAATCCCCGGTGTATGAGGCTTGTTGATTAGTTTCCTATGCCACATGCGAGGATTCCTCGAGTTGGCGAAATAGGAGATTTGTGTTTTCAGCAAACGGAGCCAAGAAGGGCTACGTTTGTATCATAGAATCGTGTGTTGTGAGTATGAGTATAGCGAGGCTATATTGCGTGCATGGTTGCACATTTACCGTGACAATTGCTTCGGCAAGAGGTCACGAGTGTGTCGAGATTGTGGGTAAGTTTTTGGCGTGACCCGGGCACCATGCTGAAACTCAACTCCACGTATCGACCACGATTGTTTGACCGAGGATATCACGGTCGAAGCACTTTGGGACCTGTTGAGGTCGTGTGTGCATGTTGTGTGAGCCGTTTTATGTTGAACGGGTATCTGGATGGTACCATTCGTGTTTTCCCCTTTCGTATGACTAGAGGTGTGATAGACCTCGGTTTGGGGTAATGAGGATCCGCTTTTGTGAGCAGTTAGTCTTTTGAGATCCTTACTCAAGTCGTTGACTTGGATTATCTGCTAGCTTTACCACCAGTTGTACCAGGGGTGCATGCTGTGTGTATGTCTCGATGTTGCGTAGAGATGTACATGACCCGGATTAAGTGGTGGATTTCGGCTAACTGTGGGTCGAGCGAGACCTTACCTATGAGAAGGTACCGATGGCCATTTTGGACCAGGGTGTCTATCGGCTGAGGAACCGGGCAGTGAGCCTTAGGAAGGTGCTGTGGGGGCTGACATGACGAGTCCGAGACGACTTGAGGGATGGATGTCGAGATTAGGTGGAGATTCCCTAACTTATCGTTTTGGGGGTCTGTGTATTCTGTTAGTTCGTTAGTTCCTTTTGTATTCGAATTCCGAGGTAGGAATTCTTTGTAAGGTGGGTAGACTGTAACGCCCCGTTCGTTTATGAATAATTTGGATTATTATTATTATTATTATTATTATTGTTATCATTATTATTGAATGTTAATTG